AGGATTTTCATCACTGAAAATCTGAGGGGAATAATTAGCATACTCCATATTATAATTGTAGTAGTATTTTGCAGGCAAATATTCATTTTTCTTAATGTCTGTCTTGTTATCATCTTCTCCTTTGCTTTCCTCAGCTTCACCTTGTTTCTTTTCTTCTTTATCTTTTTTCTCTTCTTCTTTCTTCTCAGTTTCTTCCTTTTTCTCTTCATTCTTTATAACTGAAACTTGTTTTCCAGTTCTCTTATAAACATCATTAGCTATCTTCTCTGAGTCGATGACACCTTTTACTACTACTTGATTTTTTACAAGGTCTGTCGTAACAGATTCTACTCCTGCATTGCATTTTCAAAATAGCAATTAACTTGATACTGTAGCCTAGGTTATAAAACCAACTCCTGAACCATTTTGGATTACTAAGGTAACATGTGAAAACAGTAAGATATATATATACCTTTAATTTTGCGGATCCGTTTCTGCAAAGCTTGAGCACAAGCATCACAATGCATTTGAACGTTCAAGACAACCGTTATTACCGGAGGAGGCTGCCAGGAAAAAAAAAACATTTTTCACACTTCCATATTAATTTAATTAATCAAGGAATTTTTTTAAAAAAAATGATTGGCAAAGTGAAAAAAAAGGCACCTCGGTGCACAAAATATTATGTGATCACGAAGGGTCCGGGGATGGACCGCACCCAAAGTGGATGTGATGTAGGTAGCCTAGATGCAAGCATCAGCGACTGATTCCATGGCTTGAACCTAAGATTTATAGGTCACAAAGAGACAAATTTACCGTTGCTCCAAGGTTCCCTTCGATTGGCAAAGTGAAACAAGAAACTTAAGCCGTGAATTTATTTTGTGTCAAGTGAAACAAGACACAAAATAAATTCACGGCTTAAGTTTCTCAGTTTGGCATATAGTTATTGAATTGTCCTACATCGGATTGTATATGGTAACTTGGTCTCCTTAAATAGTTTTGGACAATCCTTATTCATTTTTGTAACACTACAGCCGTTTAGCTAGCTCTGAGTATATTCAAGAGAATGTACATACAAACTAAATGATTAATTATATAATATTCATTAATACACTGATGGCATCCTTTTGTGTAAAGATTTAGGTCCAAATCAGTAACTCAACAACCAAAAAAGCATTTCCAATACTAATTTCATGTCCCAAATCATGGTAAGGAAAGCCAACTATAATTTGCATGTCGCAAATAATTACAGGGGTAATTGGTCCTGCTAATTATAAGTGGTTGCTCATATGATATTAATTTAAGTCATTCGCCAACCAGGCTTTCTTTCTTCACATTAATATTTTCAAGATAAAGCCAAGCTTTAATTTGTCTTGTGATTGTTACTATTCCTAAACTCTGTATATATATAGCCAACACCCTAAACATTTCAAATATTGAATGTTAATCCCGTGAATTCTCCTAGGTCCCATCTCATTATAAGATGTGCTCATATCACCAACAAATTAAGGTTGCGGTTAAGTGGTAAGTAGTACTCCTTCACCCTTTATCAGATGTCTTGAGTTCGAGTCCTTAGTGGGGAACCACTGTTGTTAAAGAGCGATTTATCTCAAGGCGGAATTTTTCGACACGAATACAGATTTGGTTGGGCTCCGATGCGGGTATTGTTTGCTGGCTGGCAGAGCTGGCCAGTTTCAGTTCCTTTAGCCTAATTAAGAGGTCATGCAGCAGCAAAACCTTGACTGACCCTTGACCTCTGGCTATATATTGCAAACCCAACTGTGGGTCAAACTTCTCCCCGGGTCCCATCTAAGCTTCATATAATTAAATGTGCCCAGTGGCTACGTAGTCCAGAATATTGAATTTCCAAACAAGACTTAAAAGTATAATTTAAAGTTTATGAGTTCAAAACTTAGAAATAGAACTAAAGCACTGTTCAAGTAACAAATAATGAGACAGAGATGATTATCCACAAGTATATATAGAAATAATAATGAATTAGTAGCAAGTAAATTACCTCATCTTTTTTCTCTTCTTTCTTTATAATTTCCTCCTTAATTTCTTCTTCGGGTGGCTTAGGTAAAGGTGAAATGAGTTCAACTTTTCGGCCACTTTTGTTTTGGACCCTTTCACACACTTTAAGAGGGTCTGCATTTTTGCCTTTTACCACCACCTTACTGGCCTTGTAATCCGCCATTACTTCCTCTACTCCTATAGTTCCAATTTCACCATCAAAAATCGAGTTTAAGTTTCGTATATAAACTCATAAAATCATATCAAGTCCTAAACCATACTTGTATATATATTACTCAGTCCGATCCACAATAAATGACCATTTTATATCAAAATTCATATATAAAATAAAGTTAATGTCTTTGTTGGAGTATACTCTTCATTCATGGTATTAAATGTTAAGCTTGGGAGTTAATGAATTCTTGAATTTAAAAACGTGCAAAGGATAATGGGAGATAGAATAATTAAATGAAGATTATTAAATTAATGACTTGTTTTAGAAAGGAAAAAAATCTCCTAGAACCAATAAAAAGAACAAATGGGATTTGAAAGATTTTGCAATGCATTTAAGCAAATAGCCAAAAAATTGAAAACCAAAAGAATGCAATGGAATTAGAGGATAAAGAGACCTTGGAATCTTTTCAAGGATCTAGCAACTTTTCTAGCACAAGCTTCACAATGCATATCAACCTTTAGCACTATCTCTTCTTCCTTCTTCTCTTTCTCCTTGTTTTCTTCCACTTTCTTCTCCTATATGTTCAAAGAAAATAAGAAACAAAAACATAGCTAGAGTACCTACATTGATATATAATGTTATAAATATAAATAGTGTTAATATAAAGAGGTTAAACTTAATTACCTCACCCATATTAATGCAGCTCTTTAAACAATGCTGATTTTCAATGAATTTGAAACTCTGCAAATGAAAAACCTCTCTATTTTAGTCTCTATTGTTGTTTTACTGCTTTTGGTTGGGCAAAATGAGAAGAAAGCACATTTAAGTAGAGGTGGACAGAGGCCCAATGAATGGTGACATTGCAAATCTGACCTGGAATTTTTGAAATTGCATTAGTGGTCCATTTGCTGAGTCAGCATCTATTATTTGTCCAAGTTGTCTACTATCGGTCATTTACGTTACTGTTTACTTTTATTAGTTTTTAGTCAAAATTGTCCCTTATTTTTGGGGTAAATCTAACTTTATCCTTTATCTATTACCCTGAGCACTTATTGTCCTTTAAGTTTGTTAAACTTGAGCAGGTTTAGTCCACTAACAAAAGACCCAAAGGGAGATCAAAAAACTAACAGTGATTTCACTGAGTCAACTAGGTAAAGAAACTTTTGATGCTCAAATTTTGCAGAACCGATATAGTGAACCTAAACCTATTTAACGGGTCAGGTTGACCCGGTTTCGGACCGGCCCGGTGAAAGGGAGCCGGGTAGGGTTGGGTTTGGGGGATTAGGGGATTGGTCCGTATATACTGTTTTACCGGTTAACCGGATCGGTCAAACCTGGTCAATGAAAGTTACTTTTGAACCGGTTAACTAGACCGGACCGACCCGGTTCAACGACTATTTTCTTAATTATTTTTAAAAAAATTATCACACTTGTTTCTACAATCTTAAAGGTGATAAAGGGGTGGGTCGGGTCGGGGCCCTTAGGCTCGGAACCGTTCCAGTTCAATTTTTCATCGGATGAGCCCAGACTAGTTAAGCTCGATTTTAAAAACTTGGCAACCGACCAGGATTAGTGACGATCGGTCACTATTTTTCTCAACCGGGTCGGGGCGGTTAACCGGTTCAACAATAATTTTTATTGACCGGTCCGGTTAACCAGTAAAAAAAATATACGGACTAAACCCCAAATCCAGCCCTACCCGGCCCCCTTCACCAGTCCAGGCCAGTCTGATTTACTACCGGTCTAGACCGGTCAGGAACCGGGTCAACCTGGCCCGTTAAACAGGTTTAGGTTCTTTACATCGGTTCTGCAAAACTTGAGTACTGAAAGTTTTTTTACCCACCAGTTTGGATCTTTTATTAAGTGGACTAAATCTGCTCAAGTTTAGCAAACTTGAAGGACAATAAGTGCTCAGGGCAATAGATAAAGGACAAAATTAGACTTACCTCCAAATGTAAGGGACAATTTTGTCTAAAAACTCTTAAGTGGACTAAAACTGCTCAAGTTTAGCAAACTTTAAAGACAATAAGTGCTCAGGACAATAGATAAAAGACAAAGTTAAACTTACCCCAAACATAAGGGACAATTTTGGCTAAAACCTCTTCCTTTTATCTCCCATTTTATTATAGTCACTGTTTTAATTTACTTGTTTTTTCCCCTATCTGATCTTTGTTTTGAATGGATATAAAAAGGAAAATTTTAATTATTGAACTCTCTCCATGACTCCATCTAAAAATTAAAGTTGTAATTTAAAAGGAAAATTTCAATTATTGATATAAAAAGGAAAATTTTAATTATTGAACTCTCTCCATGACTCCATCTAAAAATTAAAGTTGTAATTTAAAAGGAAAATTTCAATTATTGATATAAAAAGGAAAATTTTAATTATTGAACTCTCTCCATGACTCCATCTAAAAATTAAAGTTGTAATTTATTTGACATATATGACCATTTAAATTGAAGAACTAAAGATTTTAAATAAGCAAAACCATATTTGTGGATTTGGAGAGTTATATAATACAAAAGGCCGTTGGGAGAATGTGTAGAGTCTTTTTGTTTTAGGAAAACTAATAATTGTAAAATAAAAAATAAGCAATTTTCTGATAGAGCGAGCTGATAAGAAATTGTTAATGAACTTTAGAATTTTTACATGTCTCCTAAATTAAAGGTATTGTTTGGTGGCTAAATTCTTTTTAAGAATACATATATTAATTAACTTACAACAATTGTCAAAACAAATAGTGGATGCATTAACAATTTGTCTTCAATAATTTAAAGTCTTGAAATATTTGTCTTTGATATTTTGTTCTTCAATTCCTATAATATCCAAACAGCCAATTCCAAAGTGCAGGTTATACCATAATAATTGCAAAAGAATATTGAGAGAACCCAAAACGGCCAAGAAAATTCGTACACTTCAGATATGTCAAAAGGAAGATTACTTTTTGTATGTATAGAAAGATATATAAAATCTCTGAATTATTAGGTGAATGGAGCCAATGCATTTTCCAAAGGTCCCCTCTTCCAATTCCCTATATATGAGAATTAATAACTGAAAAGAATAGAAGAGAAAAAGAAAAAGAAAGTTGAAAACGGGGAAACTGAAAATCCTAGCACAATATTGGGTTGTACATATCAATTAATTAGAGGAGGATCTTCAAAGCTAGAGAAGGGTGAATGGACATGGAAACATGAGGAAATGAATATTAATCCTATAAACATTTCTTGTGTTTCATTCGCAATGATCCACTATAAGTCTAATAATGGCGAAGTTAGAACTTTATACAAACGATTTTTAAAAAATAATAAAGATCACATGTATAAGATTTGATCCTATGACGGTTATTTTTGGATTCGTTGTCATTTTACTAGACTTTTTCTTATGAAAAATCAAAAAAATTATTTTTACGCTATTTGTATAATATAAACTTTTTTATTTATTTTAAACCTCTTTCGCCAAAAAATTACAATGCATATATAAGGCAAAATATATTTTTACTTCTATATATTATGTTTTGAATCCATTTGACATAAGTCCAAAAACATATCTTAGTAGTCAAAAGGTTCCATTTGAGTCAGCCCAATGGCCATTTATGAAGTGACATGTGTGGTGATAAAATGTTATCTCCTCGTCATAACTGGTCTTTGTTATAATGAAAAGAGTTTTTGAAGATGATTGATTTATGAATCTGTCTTCTTGTTTACAAGTTGACGCCTCCACTATCATTACATTACTCACACTTATGGACTATAGTGTTCCTCTAATTCCTTTTGGTTTTTCTTTTGCTACAAAATGAGAGAATCGACAGTAAAGAGATGAATTGCCTCATCTCAATAGAGTTGGAATGATCATTTAAACATATGTCACATCAAATTTCATAACATAATTTAATTGAGACAGAACGATGGGTGTACTACGTATATACCTAAATATTTAAACATGTTAAATGATACAAAATTCAAGTTGAAGTCAATTATATATACTCCTCTCTATAAATAGCAGGGAAAGCATTTGTATAGGAAAAAACTCTCTACTATATATTATACACTTCTATGCTTAAGAGATTTCAGCATATAAATCTCATTAGGTTCGGTTGTACGTACATGAGACTCCTTTTATTATCCTTTTACTTCACTACTAAAAATTACTTATTTACCGACGCAAATCACCGACGGACGTCTCTCGGTAACAAGATTGTATCGAAGGAAGTCCGTCGGTAAGTGGTAGGTAGGTAAAACCTTCCTCGGTCAAATAAACCGACAGAATCTATCGATAAATACCAATGGATCCCATCGTTAAGTCATCGGTACATTTCTGACAATAGTTGGTCAAATAATTTTACTTACCGACGGATATCCGGCGATATATTATAAAATAATATAATATTAATAATATCAATACCGACGGATATCTGTCGGTAAATTAAAAATAATAATTTAATATTACCGACGGATACCATCGGTAAATTTAGAATTTTAATTTAGTAATTCAAAAATTAAAAATATGAATAAATTCATATTCCGATGGATATCCGTCGGTATGTTCAACAAAATTTGAAAATTTGGTTCACGTCTACTGACGGACTCCCTCGCTAATTAAGAATTATGGATTGAAAATGAATAAGTGTTCCATCGAACTCGGTCGGTAAGTCCCTCGGTAAATCTGGTATATTTTTGGCAGGGAGTGCCTATTTTTTGTTGCACCACCTGCCAGCCAGAATTTTACAATAGAAACAGAAATGCAACCACAATGAAACTCAACTTAACAACAACAAAACTTTATAAATTATCCAAACATCCAAATTATCCCATCAAACATCAAAACTATCCGACCAAACTTCAAAATGTAACATTCAAAATTAACATCCAACTAAACAACAATCCAACCAAACATAAAATCACTCATTCTTCGGATTCCCTCTCATCTTCTTCATCATTTATATTATTTCCATCACTTTCATCCTCTTCATAAATGTGGCTTTTTTGGCGGAGAATGGAGCAGGCCGATTAAGTGGTTCACTTGAGCCTTAAGGGAGTCGATGTCATTCCTAAGTGCGTCTCTAATCTTCTCTTCATGCTTTTTTTTTTCTCGTTCACCTGCATAGTTTCTAGAAAGTTGTTGAATCATTCGCCGCATCTCCTTAAGGTCCTCATTTTGTACGGTGGCGGATGTCCCAATACCTTGTAATTCACAAAAGAAAAGTGAAAAATATACACGAAGAGTTAGAATAGAATAATTCTGCACCCATTGAATCATTGATGATATCACTATTGTTTGGCATAGACAAGATCAATGTTTGATTTCACCACTAAATGTTCATTAGGGTTATTTCAAAATGGATAGTGAATTGGAGCTAAAGACAAAACAAACATGAACAGAAAAAGGAAATGATTAGGGGTTTGGTTTTTTAAGTCGACTATGGTAGATAGGAATCAAGAAAGTATGGGGCAAAATATTTTTGTCCTACCAACTACCATCAAAATAAAGTGTTAGCTAGCGTTTGGTCATAGATTCTTAAATTTGTTTTGAAAAAATTGTTTTGGGTGAAGTTTGGCTTGAAGATGAAAATGTGTTTGGACATACGTTTTCAAAATATATTTCCCAAATTTATTTTGAAAAAATATGTGTATTATTAGGGATTTGGCCCAAAACCAGCTATTGAGCAGGTTTTGGGATATGAAATTTTGTCAAAATATAGGCAAAAGTTATGGCCAAATATGTGTTTGCCAAATAAAACTCAAGTTTATTTTGGCAAAATCTATGTCCAAACGGGTCCTTAGAATTCAATCTTCTAAAA